CCTCGAGCCTGGCACAGTAAGATTAATGCTCATCTCATTTATTATGGCTTCAAAAGAAGTGAAAATATAGCCATTTTATATGTAAACCAAGGTAACATAACACAGACTAGACTTAAATTAAAAAGGTGGGAAGAGTTCACCTATTCAGATATAAAATAGGAAAAGTGTGTCCAAAGTAGCAATCCAAGATTAATAAGAAATAAAATAAAAGAAGACGAGTCCTAGGCGGAAAAGGAAGAAAGCAAACAAGTTCTATGATTCAATTTTTGACCTTAATACCTTTTTACTTTTAGGTTCCATTTTTCTCCCAAATGGATGATCAATTACTTGATGCAATATGTGAACGTCTAGTCTCGTCCTTAAGCACAGAAGGCACTTATATTGTCCGTGAAGGAGATCCAGTCGCAGAAATGTTGTTTATCATCAGAGGTAGGCTCGAGAGTTCTACAACGAATGGTGGTCGGACTGGTTTCTTCAATTGCATTACATTGAGGCCTGGAGATTTTTGTGGAGAGGAGCTACTCGCTTGGGCTTTGCTTCCGAAATCAACGATCAACTTGCCTTCTTCGACCAGAACAGTCAAGGCGCTTGTTGAAGTAGAAGCATTCGCATTGAGAGCTGAAGATCTCAAGTTTGTTGCCAACCAATTTAGACGCCTTCATAGCAAGAAGCTCCAGCATACATTCCGGTTCTACTCTCACCATTGGCGCACATGGGCAGCCTGTTTCATTCAGGCTGCATGGAGACGACACAAGCGGAGAACAATGGCAAAAGATCTTGCAGCACTGGAATCATTTTCTCTGGATGAGAGTACGGTCGATGAAACAGAGCAAAATGAGGAACATGATCAAGGTAACGCTAGCTCAAATCCGTCCCCGAGAATATCACACCTCGGAGTCACAATATTGGCTTCAAGATTTGCTGCTAACACAAGAAGAGGAGCTCAAAAGCTTAAAGATGTAAGATTGCCTAAGTTACAGAAACCTGAAGAGCCTGACTTTTCAGCTGAGCCTGATGACTAGATTACGACTAGTAGTTTCATTGAGATATCGATACGATGACCAACTCTGAGATTGAAGTTTTCTGCGATACATTCTTACACTCAGGATCATCGTTGTACATGTGGAAAACGCGTTTCTAAAAGAATGGTGTTGTAAGAGAGGGAGTTTTTGGCAAGGGAATGTGGTTTTTCTTTACCTTTTTGGTTAATGTAATTGTATTTAAGATTAGTTTTTTCAGTAGCAGGATGCTAATATGTACTTATATATACTCAATAACATCTCAAGTCATTTGTAAAAACTTAGAGTTGCTAGTTCCATAGCACAAGTAAATAAGTATTTTTATCAAAATTTTACAATGCTTCATGTCCTTTTTTCCCCTCTATCTTGCTTCAAGGTACTTGGAATCTGATTTTGGTTATGCTTATAAATTTGTATCTACCAAGGGTCTATTGGAATTAGCCTCTCTACCTTTGAGATAGGGATAACCGGATAAGGTCCGTGTACACTCTATCCTCCCCAACCTTACTTTGAGAATGCTGTTGCTGCTGTTATAAATTTGTTTCCAATTATTTATGCTACGAGGTTATTTGGTTCACATGCTAGTTATGTGAGGTTTATGATGCAAAGATTTTTTATGCGATGAATAATAATACACAGGCCTTACCTACTTTAAGGGTAAAGTAGAAAAATATTATAGATTTTCGTATAACTTAAACATGTATATTACTGATGCTTCCAAGTGAATGTTCACTTAGTAAGCAATTTGTTCTTTGTGAATGAAAGAACTCTTGGTATAGGTTCTTTCTCCTTTTAAGGGTAAAGTCTATACGTACACATTACCTTCCTAAAATATATTTCATTAGCAATTGTATTTGCCTTTTGTCTTTTTTTGGGAATGTTTTTTTGAAAAATATAAATTTAGGAGGCTAAAAAGATGGAGAAAATTTGAGTTGATGTTCAAATTAACTTAATTATATTAAATTAGGAAAGATCGTTATCGATCTATTAATCCAATTTTAATATAACAATTATTAATTAAATTAATAGCATCTTCACAAATAAATAATGTTTCTGGTGTAGGTTCTTCTCCTTTTAAGGGTATATAGGTGAATATTTTTTTTTAAAATATAGTTTAAAATTGTAAGGAAGCCCCTCTTTTTATAGACAACAAAGGGTAGTGTATGAAAAACTACTTATTGTGCCTTATCAAAAAAAATATCACAACCTTTTAGAAAACTCACAACTCATCGGAAAAGTCATAGCTCTTCAGAAAAGTCACAACTCGTCCTAAAAAGTCGCAATCCTATAGAAAAGTCACAACCCTTCAAGGTTGGGGTAAAACTTTTTTGTAGGTCTCCTTTGCCTTTCCTGAATAGGGGGTATTTCATTAGAGAAATAACAATGGGAGTAAATCTTATAAGAAACTTTTTAAGAACATTTATGAAAAGTTGTTTCTAGGATTAACAAAACAACACTCTTTGAAAGCGATGATATAAACTGAATAAGTATTGCTAAATATTTTATATTTGAACTACACTAAAAGAGGGTAGTCTATAACAATAATTAACACCAATGTTGGCACGTTAATACTTTTTTGAAGTAGAATAAGCTTTAAGGGGGTGTCTGAATGAGCTTTCTTTAAGGTGACTTATAAGTCAAAAGCTAGAAGTTATAAGTTAGGGACATTCAATTTTTTACTTTTAGCTTATTTGATACTTTTTCAGCCTTAGAATACACTTTTTGAGTTATCCAAACACTTTAAAAACAAAAAAATAGTGTAAAGGTCAAAACCACTAATTTGAATTATGAATTATTCTTGATAAATTACAAATCATTCCACTAGAAAGTCATAATTGCATTCCTCCATTTATATTTCAAAATTCCCCATAAACACTTATGTAATTCTACATATTAAGATTGCATATACTAATCAATAAATCAAAATACTGACAAATTTAATTCAATGATTAATTTCTTTAAAACTCTACTTATACAATGTGTTGGGTTCATGAAATTCATTTGTAAGGTTTGACACAATGAAAATTTATAAGCTTCTCGAAAAAGCATATCATGCAATCTTTATATCAAGACATGGATCCCATCAATTAACTTATTATTTCACAAATATATATTAGGATCATACAATCTACCAGACATATTCATTCGTCTCAAGATCTCACATTTTAATAAATCAAAATGATAATTAATATATACCTATCATGATAGTTATATGAGGATTGAGACTATAAATACATTTAACAGTTAAGAGAATATAGTTTTGTCAAACAAGTCTAAAACATTTTGTTGAAAATCTTACGGAAAATACTTCAGCACGAACACAATCATATGTTTTTTCCAGTTGAAAGCAACAACAACTAATTGTTCAAATGAGTAGAAGATGTTGAGATGGATCAATTGTATTTATAGGCAATCTCCAAGAGAGTGTCACAAAGTTGTTTGGGCATACATAGCATTGCCATATGATCAGCACCTTTAATCTCCTTTGCTTCCGTGACGGTTCCAATGTTATCAATTAGCCTTTGCTGGAATTCTTTTGGTAAGACTTTATCCTCAGTGCAGATTATATAAACTTTCTTCACTGATCCATAACCTTCGTCTGTGAAATACTTCGCCTTTGATAGATCTTCGATAAACAGAGAGCTTGGCCTTATCAATGACGATGCTAATGCAACATCCTACCAAATAATATTGCTTTAGTATATGTCATTCCATTCACCAGACAACATAAATACTTGTTTCTAAATAAAGCTTATCTCATGAGAGCATAACTGATAAAATCGGTGAGCCAACAATTTGGGGTCCAAAAATATGAATGTCAGAGGGTCTTCAGGGGAACCGTATGATACAAATTGGGTGTCAAACCAGTTCTTTGTTGGCGTCCTCTCAAAGTACTGAACATTAAAATTGAGTTTGTATAAATAAAATAATCATTCACAAACAACATAAATATGAATTATATTCACCTGATCCAAAACATAGGAGGACATGTGAACAGAATCAGGCATAAGAGCAGTCAAGAAAACAGCAGCATAGATCTTTTGTGGGTATTTTTCCATAGCAAGTCCCAAATTCATACCACCATAACTATGCCCCATTAGTATGACCTTCTCCTCTTGTGGAAGGGATTCCATAAACTCCGTCAATGGCACGGTATAGTCATCAAGCGTGCGAAGTTCCTCTATTTTTCTCAAATCAATGCCAGAGGCTGCCATGTCAACGGCAGTGACCTTGTGGCCAGCAGCCTCTAGCAATGGCTTTAGCTTGTACCAACACCAACTTCCATGGCACGCACCATGTACCAAAACAAACTGTTTCTTCATAACCTCCATTTTTTGGCCTCGTGTGTTTTTTTTCTTTGTGACACAAGGACACAAAGATTAGTAATTTGGTGGGCTGGGGTGATTATGTTCACTTAATCTGGAAACTCAAATATTTGACCATTGAAATAAAGGGAGTATATATTTAATAATATTTGTCATAATATTTTAAATGAATCTATTATGGATATTATTTCAATAAATGAAAACTCATCAAGAAGAATTCTAATATAATGCTTTAATTATGTTTATCTAAATTATATATGATGGTGTTATCTTGATTTATTCATTCGTTCACTTTTTTAATATCGATATCACATACAAATTTTGTTGAATCAAAATAATAAAGTGTAATGCGGATCGGAAGCTAATAATTACGAATCTGAATTAAAGAGAAGAAGAAAATAACATGTGTACCTAATAATATACTAGAGAAATTGTATGTTGTCTCACATCTTAGAGCTCTGTCACTAACAAATGATGAAAGTTCTTGATGGTTTGTAACAATGAGCAGACATAAGACATATGACTTGTTCAATTTCCATCTTAGATTGTGAACAAATAATTTTATACTTTCTATTATCAACTATAGTTATGCAGGCAAAACAGAGTAAATATCAAACACGAAATACTTGGTTGAGAAAGCAACAATGAGAGGACATAAGACAGAAAAGTTGTAACAGGAAATAGTCATTATAAGAATTGACACAGTTTAATTATTCTTCAATACATAAAACACAGCACAATCATATAATTATAACAACTAATTATTCAAATGAGTAGAAGATGGATCAATTGTATTTATGAGCAATCTCCAAGAGAGCGTCACAAAGTTCTTTAGGCATACTTAGCATTGACATATGATCAGCACCTTTAATTTCCTTTGCTTCAGTAACGCCACTGTTGTCAATTTGCCATCGTCCAAATTCTTCTGGTATGCCTTTGTCCTCTGTACACATTATATAAACTCTCTTCACTGATCCATACCCTTCATCTGTAAAATACTTCGCCTTCGACAAATCTTCTCGAAACAGAGAGCTTGGTCTCACCAATGATAATGCTAGTGCAAGATCCTACCACATGTAAGGTTGCTTTTATTTCGAAACGAAATAAATAAACAATGATCTTTGAATATAATGTGAATAAATAAAGAGTAAAAGATTACCTCAGGAGAGGATAACTGGTAGAGCTTGTTAGCCAAATATTTGGGGCCAAAAGTCATGGATGTAAGTTGCTCTTCAGGGGAACCATATGGTAAAAATTGGGTATCTAACCAATTTTCCTCTGGAGTTTGTTCATAGTACTTCAAAAAATTACATTAAAATTGGATTTATAAGTAAAACAATCAAAAAGTATATATTATACTCACCTGATCCAAAACATAGGAGGAGATATGAACAGAATCAGGCATGAAGGCAGCTAAGAAAACAGCAACATAGATCTTTTGTGGGTATTTTTCCATAGCAAGTCCTAAATTCATACCACCAAGACTATGTCCTACTAGTATGACTTTCTCCTCTTGTGGAAGAGATTCCATCAATTCCATCAATGGCAAAGTGTAATCATGAAGTGTGTGAAGTTGCTCTATTTTTCTCAAATCAATGCCAGAGGCTGCCAAGTCAAAGGTTGTGACCTTATGGCCTGCAGCCTCTAGCAGGGGCTTTAGTTTGTACCAACACCAACCTCCATGGCATGCTCCATGTACTAAAACAAAATGTTTCTTCATAACCTCCATTTTTAGGCCTTATCAGTTTTTGTTTTTTACTTTTCTTTGGTAAGTTATATAGTGGTATGGTGGACATCACAGCATGGGAAATTTGTTGCAACTACCCGCTAGAATTTTACACGTGGCCAATAGTGTAATCTCATTGATCAATTTGGTGGGACAGCACAGCATGTTATAATTTGGCGAAGATACGGATGGTGTTTGCGGAATCGGAATCAAACTTAATCTGTTCAATTCGTCCAATGTATTTTAGTTTGAACAGAAGCTGATATGTAATTCAAATTGATTAATGAGAAATATTATCTTAGTTTTAATATTTTATATAGTCATAATAAATAAATAATATTAATTTTATTATGTACTAAATAGTTTAAAGAATAAATAAAACTTGGTAAAAAATGAATTGGATTGGGTCTTGATTCATTTTATGATACTCATTACCTGACCCGTTTTAATTCAAGTAAATTTGGGTTGAATTGGATCTTGATTCATTTATTGTCTTGATTCATTATGATCCATCCAAATTTAGTACAACTCATTCAATTGTCATCCCTAAACTAAGCGTTTATTTCGTTGGGTAGCTTTATATATCTAAAGAGTAAAATTATGATTTAGTTAACTTTTATCGAGTTATCGATTAGCTCCTTAAAGAATATGGAATAAACGGTTACCAAATCATTAATTCAAGGGAAAAGGGTTAAAAATATCCTTAATGTATCTCAAATGGTTCAAAAATGTCCTTCTTCCATCTTTTGGTTTAAAAATGCCCTCAACGTTTTTTTAAGGTTTAAAATTGCCCTTTATTAACAGAACAATGACATCGCAATTGTGACATGGATTTTCTTTACCTATTTCAAAATATATGACCCACTTAGTCTAGAAATCCATTTCAAATCTGATCCGATATGACCGATTAATTTTGGATCTTTTGTTCCCATTTGTTCTAACTCTCTTCTTTCTTCCTACCTCCTTCAGTTTGTCTTCTTTTTCCATTTCTCAGTTAATTTCAAGAAGAAAAGGAAGGAAGAACTACAAAGAATAAGGTTAGCTAAATCTTGAATTTGTTCCTTGCTGACATTGAAACGTTCAAGAAGAAAATAAGATTTATCTTCCTTTGGTTCTGAAGCCTCCTGCTTCCAACTATAAACACCACCATTTAAGCTAATGACCAACCAAAAAATCCAATTCCAAAGAAAATGAGCCATAAAAACAAAAGCTTCATTTGCAACCCACAATTTGGTCCTAGCAAAGACTCTGGCCTTCTTCAGCCTAAAACTTGAAGAGAAGCTCTAATTCGTGCCCAACAATTTGCAATTTATAGACATCTTTAATAGAATTCCCCTACATATCTTCAGAAAATGCCTTGAAAGCTTAGGAACAAACCGACCCAGAGCAGAAAAGCTCATCAAAAGTCAATAATTGACCTGAATTTCAACAATTCTCAAGCAAAAACATCTCATAATTCCAACAGAAAGCTGAAACTGATCAATATCAAGATTCTGCTGTAAACCCACCTTTACAAACTCCTAATCAAACTCCTAAAAAAGCAAAACATTACCTAAGTTGCAGAGTAATGGAATCAACTATGTAAAAGATTGAAGAAACAAAAGAGTATTATCTAAAGAACATAACTAGAGGTGTTGTGATTTGCAACCCTCAATTGCCATCGTCGGATGCTACAAAAGAGGTTGAGAGTCGTCCTAAAATGGAGCTCAAAGATAAGATAGGTTAATATGAAAATGGATTCTTGGGTGGGTTTAAGTTTTTGTAGCACAGATGGGTCAGGTCGTTCGGCTAGATTTTAAAAATTAAGTGGACCAATAAGATAAAGTCACTTGGCTAATTAAATGAGTCATCATTTATTATGTTAGTGGGTTGTTAATAAAGGGTAATTTTAAACCTTAAGAAAATGTTGAGGGCATTTTTAAACCAAAAGATGGAAGGAGGGCATTTTTGAACCATTTGAGATACATTAAGGATATTTTTAACCCTTTTCCCTTGAATTAATGATTTGGTAACCGTTTATTCCATATTCTTTAAGGAGCTAATTATTTTTTAACCATTTGAGATACGTTAAAGGGCATTTTTAACCCTTTTCCCTTGATTCAATAATGATTAAAAAAAAAATCTTAATCATTAATTCAAAATGAGAAAAAAATATTTGCACGTGATAAAACAAGAGATGGTCCTTTGTACTACCTAAACCTTTAGGCAAAATCACTCGAGATATGATAGCAACAAGTTACCTTGATAGCTTATGAATGGTAATCTATCTATTCAATTAATGTGATGATAATATTTAATTTCCTTCGTTTTAATTTATATAATAAAATATATTTTTTATTGGACTCGGAATTAAAATTTAAAAAAATCATGATTTAAAATAAATTATAAATATGTATATAATTATAAATTATTTCATAAAAAGGTAACATTGATTAATAGAGTAGGTGCAAACTAGTTTGGATATTATCTTTAGGTAAAGTAGTGGTCCTTTCAAAGGAAACACAATTATTAAAGGTTGTGACTTGTAACAGAATGTCACGTAACTCTCTATTCTTAATTACTAAAAAAATTAGTTCAAGCTCTAGGAATATATTTTATTTAAGAATATGACTTGACTAATTTTATTTCAAAAATATTTAATTCTAAGAATAAATGAGATAAAGTAGTTAATCTATTTTTAAAAATAATAAATAGTTAAGGTGAATATTTTAAAAAATATTAACAATTAATATGAAATGGAGGAGAAATAAGATAGTTAGGCATTATATGTACATCCTACTAAATCTCAACGATCGTGTGCCTTTAATAGAACAGGCAACTTTTTATGGAACTGAAACAGACGTTGAAGAATTCGGATTTAATTGACAAAATGATAATAACTTGTCTGAATATATTTTAGAAATTAGCTTTACTTGAAAAGTTAAATATTTTTTACGAGAAATAATTTGTGTTTTAATAATAAATTTTAAAAATATTTTAGAGCAATAATTAGTGTTTTGTCAATTTTAAAAAAAAGTATTTTTCAAAAAAAAACTACTAATAATTTTTTAAGTGTATAAAATACAGCTTTTCCTATTCATCAGAAACACCTATTTTCTCCTAAAAACTTCATCAATTTTTATTATTTTTTTGAAATAAGCACATTTTTCTTATAAAAAATTACTTTTGATCTCCTAATAATTTGTACAAACAGACTAGGAGATTTTGTGCTTGTTGGCAACATTTAATTAGTTTCAAAGATTTTGATGGCAAAAACAAGTGGCTTCGTCAAAGCAATTTGGAAAAGAATTAGCCAAATAATAACGTATACTCCCAAGTCCCAACACGGCAACACTTGATAATCATCAACAAATATATGGATGGCAAAATTGTGAAAAATTTCAAATACTAGAAATAATAATTAAAAATAATTTGAAACTGCTTAATTTTTTTGCTTAAGCGTTAAAATTAATATGTTAATACCGTTTTAAACATAATATTGATTGCAATAGTGAAAAAGAAACAAAATATGTCAATAGCTTTTTCTTTTTTTATTTCTTTCTAATTTTCGGGCCGTTAAAACAGTTTTTTCACTGAAGAAAAAAGAAAATCCCAAATAGGTGCAAAACTCGTACAAAAATAGATGTGAAACTGCGAAATTATATTTGTTATCCCAAACTCGCAACTTCCTCAGCTCGACGTCAATTTTAAAAAAATATATTTGAATCTGCTCCGCCCGCCGGACACTCATAAAAGCTCTAATCTGCCCTACCCCACAAATAATGTAACCTTTCCAGCTGCTCTGCCCCCATTAACTTTCCTACATAGATATCGACAAAATTGTACTTATTACTCTTCATTAGTAAATCGTTGCTTCAATCATAATCTCATTATTGATTAAATCATTATCTGCCATTGCTCTATAGTATTTCACTTTGTTTTATTTTATTTTTTTAGTTTGCTTATAAAAGAATATCTTTTTTCTTTATTGTTTTTGATAACTTTTTAATTCTGATTTCAATATTGCTTGTTTAAGACCATACATAAAAGGACATTTTGATATACTTTTTTTTTTTTTATCTTTTTCCCTTGTTTTTCCGTTTCAGTATTTACATTTCATACCTTATTTTAAACTAATTTCTCCATAAAATTTCTTTGTTTTTTCTCATATATTTTTCTATATTTGGTCAATTTGGATTGATTCTGGTTAGGCTTTTTTTAGTAATAGGTTAGTATTTATATGTGACTATTAATTGATTTATTTCTTATGTTAATTTCGCTTTGATTGGCTCTTTTCTGATCTTATCTCCGGTATTTCCCTTGCATTCAGAGACTGAATATTCCAATGGAGTTTTAATGAAAAAAGAAGAAGTAAATATGTAGTATTTAATAGATGACAAGAGTATATATACATCATTTGTTAATGAGGAATATATTCACTTTAAATCGAAAAGTTGTGTGTGTGAGGGGGGTTAATATAAATTTGTCTCTTTTTCCTTTTCTAAATATAGTTTAAACACCCCTCCCCAATAAATCCCCAACCCCACCAAATTTATAAAAGCTAGCAAAATCACTTAACTTGATTGATTTACCTAAAAGATTGAAACATATACGGTCAAATCTACTAAAAAAAAGTAATATCTCAAAATAGATATAGTCAAATAATGTCGTAGATTAGATTCATATACAAGTTAGTACATACGAATATACTTTTAATTTTTTTAAAAAAGTACATACTAATACAAATAATTTTTCACTTTATTTGAAATCTTTGAAGCTGAAGATAAAAATAAAATTAAGTTTCATTATAATTTTTACAAACAATATTTAGTTGTTTGTATGTACCTTTTCTATAAAAAGATGAATTGAAATATTTAAACATGAAATACTTAATTTAAATGGAGTCATTTTTACAAAAATAAAATTTAGGATGAAATATGAAATAATAATAGTGAAAATGAGAATGGAAAAAGTGTGTAAAAATAAAAATTTAGGATAAAATATGAAAA